ACCCACAGAGGTCCCTTCCAACCCCTAACATTCTGTGATTCTGTGTGTTTCTGTGATTGTCATAGAATGATAGGATCATAGAATGCTTTGGGTTGGAAGGGACCTTTAGAGGTCATCTAGCCCAGCCCCCCTGCAGTGAGCAGGGACATCTCCCACTAGACCAGGTTGCTCAGAGCCCCGTCCAACCTGACCTTGAATGTTTCCAGGGACGGGGCCTCCACTACCTCTCTGGGCAACCTGATCCAGTGTTTCACCACCCTGATGGTAAAAAAGTTCTTCCTTATATCCAGTCTAAATCTACCCTCCCTTGGTTTACAACAATTAATCCTTGTCCTGTCACAACAGGCCTTGCTAAAAGGCTATTTTAATACAGCCTGGTAATTAAAACAGCAAGCTGTGACATTTGATACATTATGTGCAATAGGCTTATAAGTATCCAAAGATAGGTAGGTAGTTGAAATGTATTTCAGATGAAATTGTAAAGAATTTTGTTTCCAGTGAAGCTACTTGAGTTGGCAATGACTTACAGTTTAAAGCACTGAAATTTTTTAAATGTCAGTGTGAAATATATTCTAATTCTTCTGAGTATTAACTATCCTTCACAGATTTTAGGGTTTAAATGAACAACTATGGGCTTAAACATAAAAACTTCTAGCATTTTTAAAATTTTAAGGTTTGTAACATTGTAACATTCTAAAATTCTAAATATTGAGAATTTTGCTTAGATATTTGTGGTCAAAATTTGATGGTTTTATATGTCACTGTGAAAGATTGTCTCTAATATTCATTTTCAAGCCAAAGATTCTACTTATGTTTTAAGGTACTCATTGAAATCTCTTTCTAAATTTTTTTTTTGAAAGTTATATTTTTCTGTGAACTATTTTGGTGTTTCCCTTAGGTCTTATTCAACTGTAATATGAAGATGAACAATTTCTTAATATACTTAGAAATACTTATATTAAATATTGTAATTTCTAGGCAAGGGAAGGACGCACCACAGTTGTGGTAGCTCATCGACTGTCAACAGTTCGAAATGCAGATCTTATAGCTGTGTTCAAGGGTGGAGTCATCACAGAACAAGGGAATCATTTTAAATTGCTTGAGAGGAAGGGAATCTACTATAAACTCGTTAACATGCAGGTATTTTTTTCTTGCTAGCTTTTGCCTGATTTTCTTTTTTGTATTCCATGCCCACAGTTATTGTATGCTATGAGAAGTATGGGGAATTCTGCAACATATTTTATTAACAGCAAAAAACTATGTACTTTAAAAGGAGGACGGTAACTTGAGAGAGAAGACAGCTAGTTTTGATACCATATCTATTTAAACCCAGGATAGTACATTTTTAATCCTCTGGAGATTTAAACGTAATAGATTATTTTATGTTTTCCTTTTATGCAGTTAATGTAGACCAACTGACTACAGTAGTTTGCTATTCTGTTGCTTGTTCTTAGCCTTTGATGAAAGGTAAAATGCAGTAGCTGATACTGGAGGAACAGAGCACGCATATTTTAAGCTATTTATTCATAATCCTTCATACTGAATTTCTTTCTAAAGAAAAAAAATGTGGTGCAGTAGGAGAAAATGAAAAATAATCTAGCTATGCTGAGTGCAAAAGTACGTACATTTTTATGTAGTAGCCAGAAAAAAAGAGGTTGAAAATTAATGTAGATATCAGAAACATGTTAGTTGTTAAGTGAGGAACAAAATACTATGGTACATCCCAATGTCCCATGTGATGGTTAGGTTATAGCTGAGCTTCACTGTAGCCTTCTGTGTGGCTGGTGTTTTATGGCATAACCACCATACCCATTAAAGAAACTGAAACTGCTACCTCAGTGTGTCAGGCTAAAAAGAGTAAACTAAGCAAATTAAAACATGTCTTCATAAATAACTAGAAGAATGCATTTTGGTCACAGAATCACAGAATGGTAGGGATTGGAAGGGACCTCTGTGGGTTATCGAGTCCAACCCTCCTGCCGAAGCAGGGTCACCTACAGCAGGCCTTAGATTCAAAGTAACTGTGTATTCAAGCAAATGTGATAATGGGAGAAATTGGGAAATATGAAATGAAAAAAAAAAATTTAACAAATAATGGAAAGAAAACGAAAAAAAGTTCTTTTTATTAGTAGTAGAAAAAGCATTAAGAAATAAAAACTTTCTAGAAAAAAATAAATGCAAGTTGAATTTACTATTAAGTATCACAGTGGTGGGTAGACATTTATTTATTCTGGCAAAACTACCACCAAAACTAGGACTCTTAATTAGACTGTTCAGATTTTTCAGTCAAAATCTCTTTTGACGTGTTCCATCATGAGCTTTCTTACTCATTTAAAGTAAAGAATTATTAAGAGTATTCTGCAGTAAAGAGGTGTAATTTTTTCTCATTTCATGAATAAACAGTGTATCCACTGAGAACTTGTTCAGAAAGATACCAAGATGAGTGGAAATGGTGTACACTCGATTTATAACTCTGCTAGGAGTGAATTCATAAAAAAAGAGCAGCTACTTCCACTCACTTGCCCTCCGCCTAGTGGAAGTATTTTCTTGAGGCGAGATTCTCTTCTGTAAGAAACAAGCTCTGAAGATAGAGATCTACTCAAATATAATACAGATCTTCACATCTGCTTTATAGCATTGTGTATTGTTTTCGCTATATCTCCACTGAAACAATCAAAGTTACTTTTACTTTAAATACCTCATAATTTTGAAAATTCAGAGTAATATATGCATAATTAATCTTAGCATCATGTTCTTCCCTCTTTTAGGCAATAGAAGCTGAAGTTCCATCATCAGAAAAAGATAAGGATGCGCTTAGTATCAAAAAATGTGAGTTAGAACCAGAATTTGAAGAATCCTTAACAAAAGGATTGAGAAGACGATCAACTCGGAGAAGCATGAAAAAGCCAGGAGCACAAAATGATGATTCTGATGAGAAAACTAGTTCACCTGTAAGTATCTTTGCAGAGCTATTAGTGAACTTTGATAGCTTTCAACAAAGTCTTTTAAAATTAAATTCATTCTCTTGCTCTAGAAAGGTATAAGTAGAAGGAGGCATTTTATAGGAGTGAAAGAAACATGAAAATTTTCTAATTCTGACTAGCCTTTGACTGATAATATTCGTAAATTGTTATGTTATTCTGACCATGAATGATTATACAAATAAAATGGGATTTTAAAAATCAGTAATAAGGATGAGTTTACTTTTGAAAATGAACTTGCTATAAAATAAATATATATACAAATATTTGCATTCCATACTGACGTAGTCTATACAGGTTAAACATTCTTTTTTTTGATCAGAAACAGAACATTTGGCCCAGCATACAACTCTTAAAACAAACTGTACAAAAAAAACATACTACCAATATGGTTGCATTCATATTTTCAGCAAATACTTTCCTGTTATAAATTTTTTATTTTGGATCAGAAACAGAACATTTGGCCCAGCATACAACTCTTAAAACAAACTGTACAAAAAAAACATACTACCAATATGGTTGCATTCATATTTTCAGCAAATACTTTCCTGTTATAAATTGCTTAATGAACAATGGAATTGATCTAGTAATGGATTACACTCAACAATATGCCCAGAACTAATAATTCAGTCACCATTGTCCAATACCAAGAGTACTGATCAATGAAAATGATATAGATAAACTAAAATACGATTGCAAGAGCTTTAGAAATATTCTAACAGCTCTTTCTTCCTTATATTAAAATAATAAATTTTTGACTTCCCCTGAGTAGATTCTGAGAGTAGGAGATTGACTATTAATCTCTCTTTTTCTCTGTATTTAGCCAAATATATACATGTTTGTCCTAACAAAATTCCCATTTTTTAGGATGAAGAATTACCTCCAGCTTCGTTTCTGAAAATTCTGAAGCTGAACAAAACTGAATGGCCATACTTTCTAGTTGGAACTTTATGTGCAGTTATCAATGGAGCTTTGCAACCTGCATTTGCACTCATATTTTCAGAAATTATAGGGGTAAGTTTGAATAAAATACACAAAAAACTGTAAAGCCCCCCCCCAAAATATTTCTAATGAAACCAGGTCTTAGTCACTGCATAATAAGTTGAGGCATGGATGAAGCACTTTTAAAATATCTGAAGAATTATATGAGATTTGCAAAAGCTTAAAAATCTTGCTGCAACCTGAAATTTCTTGTTATACTTATAACCATATGTAACGTATGCTCAAATCTTTTATGTGTGCTAATGACTGCCAAACATAGGTATTGAGAGATATGGGAGTATTTTAGATTATTAGTTGATTAGAAAAAAAAGTTGTTTTAAATGTTATTTTATAGATTTTTTCAGAAACTGATGACACCATTTTAAGAGAAAAGAGCAACTTATATTCAGTGCTGTTTTTAGTACTTGGGATCGTTTCCTTTTTTACGTTCTTTTTTCAGGTATGTTTTATTATTTTAACTTTATTGTAACTGTTCATCATGTTTTAGAAAACTGATCTGAAATATACTGAAAATCTGTATCTTTTTTTTTTGGCATTTAAATATTTTCATATGTAGTCTGGTTTATAGTTTCTGAATATGTTTCTATAGTTTTAGCCATTAAATGAGCCTACACAGTGAAATAATAAAGTGCACTTGAGACAGCAGCATAAACAGTCTCTTGCAAAAACCTCCTGGTGTATTTATGGAATTGTCTTGTTGCACATGCATGCATGAAGGCTTTGAGTATAGAAGACTGAGTTGTAGATGGCTATGACAGGTTTGTTTGATTTATAAATGTTCACATAATATTTTAAATATGAGTGGGAAGAGTTCATTGAAATGTAACACCCCCAAATTAGTGAGAATGAAAAAAAATTTAAAACATTCTTATAATCTATTTCTGTAGTGCTCATTCTCTGATGTTCTTTTGTGATTTTTTTCTAATTCACATACTTGTGCAAATGTACTGAGAACATAGAAGCACAGCAAAGATAATGATCAAAGTTAATTGAGAAATATCTGCTGATTGGAATGTGCCATAGTAATTTTTTCTTAGTATCACATACTACAGTTACATCTGTGATTTGTATTTTAAGAGTATTGGATTTCACAAATGCAGATTCCAAACAATAAAAATTTGTGTTCACATAAAGGTGGTAGTGAGCTAAACAAAGCTAATTATAAACACTGATTTTATGCTAAGATGTAGGAAGAGTGTATCTTCCCAAAATTTTAACTAACATATTCCTTTTTGTGTCTTGTTGAATTGATTCATGTATCTGGCTAAAAATGTGTTCAATACATTGTAAATCATCACTTGTGTATTACTGCTGATAGCTATGCCATTTTGTGTTAAGATACCAGAGGAGAAATCTTAATTCCATTGAAGTCAATGGGAAATTTGTGTTTGACTTCAATGAACCTAGATTCCTTATGAAGTCTTTAACCTAAAATGAGTGACCTAAAAGCCCCATGTTTAAATCTGACTTAGGTCAACTCAGATAAAAATGAAGTCAAAGAGTTTATTAGTGATCTTTTCCTTGAAGCATGCTGGTGAAGCAGTCCTGGGAAATGTTGCTATGCTCTCTTGGGTTTTTTTGAGAAATAATATTTGAATGTCTGTACAGTGAAACTACTAGAATTTATGAATGTAAAACCTGGGTTTACATTTGCTGTGTGGAGTCAGGACTCCAGTATTTTGTACTTCGACATGGTAGAGATGATGTATCTGAAATATTTGTTTCATAAATACAAAAAATGTAGTAATACGCTAAACATTGTACCCTTTGTCAAATAGGGTTTCACATTTGGAAAAGCTGGAGAAATTCTTACAATGAGACTTCGATTCATGGCATTTAGAGCAATGCTTAGACAGGTAAAGATAATAAATACTTCGTTTTCCAGGGTTTTAAAATTTATTAATAGTATATCTATCATACAATAACTGAATTCTACATTATTCTATCATATTATGACTTATCTACAGCGAATATTCTTTAAATCAGTCTAGAAACCAATTTGGTTAGTTACAGGTGATTTAGCAAAGTATCGTTAGAGTCTTAAATCAATAGAAGTGCAAGAGCTTTTTATGTACTTGTTGCAAGGACTTCAATTTACAGCCAAGTTACTATGGCCTGACAAGTTGATGTGCATCAGCAGTACCACATTACATGTTCATTTGCCTGCTTTGCGTTCTTGGTGCCATTTCTCCCCTAAAAAATTGCAATGCAACACAGCTTACACTGTAACTTGTGCTTCAAATGAGGAACAAGTTGAAAGCTTGTGGGTTAGAATTAAGGGACCAGCTCAAAAGGGTGACATTACGGTGGGTGTGTACTACAGGCCACCTGACCAGGAGGAGGAGGTTGATGAGGCCTTCTACAGGCAGCTGCAAGCAGCCTCACAGTCACAGGCCCTGGTTCTCATGGGGGACTTCAACCACCCTGACATCAGCTGGGAAGACCATACAGCTAGGCAGGCGCAATCCAGGAGGTTCCTACAGAGCATCGATGATAACTTTCTGATGCAAGTGGTGGAGGAACCAACAAGGAAAGGCGCGCTGCTGGACCTTGTGTTAACAAACAAGGAGGGACTGGTGGAGGACGTGAAGGTCGGAGGTAGACTCGGCTGCAGTGACCATGAAATGGTCGAGTTCAGGATCCTGCGTGGAG